AGCTGGTCGTTTGGTAAACAGTGGAAGAATCGAAAACGTTCGGACGGCCTCCGCTCTGGCCGGCAGCCAGCGTCTCGTTCGTCGACGCGTTTGACGCGTTCCCGCGGGCTCGTCCCTCATCGGAGCTGTCGTCGAAACGGCGCGCGGACGCGGGTCGGGGAGGTTTTTTCCCCTCCGTCGCGCGCGCAGGGACAAATCAAGATTACGCTGAGGAACGGCGCCGTTCATCGGGCACCGGGGCAATTATTTCGGCATTTGTCGAGCCCGACGTTCCGTAAATCACGGATGAATCGAACGAACGGTACGGCCGGCGTCGCGCACAAATGTCGGGGGTTTGAAAAAGAATACCGGCCGGCCGTATCCATAAACAACGTTATAAAATTAAGCCGCATGCATACGCGGCCCCGTATAGTTTCGGTCCACGGCGTAAACCCAGAGGCAAACAGCGGACTCGTGTACACGCGGCGCTTTACGGCGCACTAGACGCAGATTTTGGTTTGTTGTAAAATCAACGTTCCCGCGGCGTGTGCTCCAATCGAAATCGCGTAACACGGTTGGAAGGTGGGCACTTGGCAACAATAGCCGCGTGCGATTGTTTGCGAATTACTTGGTCGTCGGTCACGATCTCTCCGTTCCACGGGAAAGGCCGGCGGAAAATTGAAACGCGATCGTTCCATCGCGCCGCGCCACGTTCTCCCCATTATCCCGTGACCCGTGAATAAGCCTCCGCGGACCCGAGCCGCGCCGGAAACGTTTCAACGACAGACGCTTTTATTTCCTGCCCAAATAATTTCCCACTTGCGCCCGGCAATCCCGACTTCTCTCGCGAGGGAACGCCGCGGATTACACTTTCGTAAGAATTCGCGCGGAGCTTTCTACTCGCGATCCGCGTTACGTAAAAGCCCGTGAAACGTTCTTAGCGTCGCGTTTTAATATTTCATCGTAGACGCTCGTAAGAAATTCGACCGTGCCGAGCGTGAGCGATGTACTAATAGAATCGTGAAATAATTGTTTTCACTTATTAACGTAGTTACCGTATGCATTTATGAATAAGATCGAAGAGCAAGGGCGAAACGCCAGCGCGCCAGAGGAGAATCGCGATTACTCTATTCCGTTGCACCCGTTCATCGGCGATTTACGTGAAAAGAACGATTATTTCGCTCGGAGTAATTCGAGCGCGGCAGTTCGACCGTTCCGCCGGCAGACAGTGGTCGAACGATCGGGGGAGTAACGAGCCCGGCGGAGTCGGTGCTCCGGCGAAAGGTTTCGTCGCCGGTATTCTCGGTGTGCGCCGCTTCATTCTTCGCCGAGATACCCGCGATTCGATTCAGCCGCGGTACCCGGAGCGCTAGATTTCCCGTTTCGTCCGGCCGGCCGTCTTTCAGAACTTTCGTCCGTTCTCCCCACGTCCACTCCATTCTCCGTAGCCGCGGAATAAAGGCTCGTAATGTATGCAAGCCAGCTGCAGCGAAACCTTTGCGACCCGCTTTCTCCGGGCCAACATTCCATCTCGGCGACCGGACATAAAGAACCAGAAAGATATTCTGCTTGGCCTATTCTTTTTGGCCAGCCGCGCTTCGAAGCGGAAAGCACCCGTTAAATACGGAATTTCGCGAGTCGTCGGAACGATTCTACGCGGATACGTACATACCTGCAAGTTCGTCTTATCCTCCATTCGCCACTCGAAGTTCCGCCGACCGAGACTTCAATCCCCCATCCCCGGCCGCGCGAAATTATTACCACGGCGCAGGCACCGGTCGCTCGCCTCGCCTCGCCTCGCCTCGCCTCGCCGCGCGGAGGAGCTGAAAGAAACGCGAACGTTTCGAGACAAATGGTTCCATTACGTCGAACGATGAAACAGCTTAATATCACGCTTTGCCATTCGAACGTGCTCCTAATTTGGTTAACCGAAATTGAGTCCCGGAAACGCCGCCGTGCCCTCGTGAAAATTGAAATCGCGGTACGAGAGCGGCGCGCAAGATGGTCGGTGTAACCGGAATTTACGAGATACGGAACAAATCAGCGGGCAGAAAGAGAGAGAGGGGGAGAGAAAGAGAGAGAGAGATGTCGTATCAAAATTCTAGACCGAGCCGAGCGTAGCGGTAATTATACTCATCAACGGAAATGTCACGGGCAGACCCGGTTTATTATATGACCGCTCGCCGGGCAGCACCGCCGGGCATTATTGTTTCCCAAAGAATTTCATTTAAATTCCGACCGGCGGAAAGTTTTCGCGCGCAATACGAAATCGCTTTGTCTAATAGTTTTTGATCCACCGTAATTACTTCCCGTCGTAATGACGCTCCCCGGCGGGAACTTTGTAATTAATTAGGTTCAGCGCGGTCGTCCGCAGCTCGGAATCGACGAATCTTATTTGGAACTTCCCTTTTGATCTGATACGCGGTCAACGCGGACTGCGAACGCGCTTCGTTAATAAGTTAAAGCCCCGCACGAGAGGATTTAATCGAAAGCATTCCCATCCGTTCTCGGCGGCGTCGCCGTTCGTTATAATCACGTGATCTGCGAACACCTCGACAACATCGAACGCGATTTTCCCCTTTTACGCCGAATCGAAACGGAATCGGTCCCATCGATCGATAGGAAGAGTCGAGAGGAAGCTGTCCGAAGATCGTCGACGCATCGCGTGTCAACGATTTTGCTCGCGACGAAAAGAAGCAAAAAAGATTCGCACCAGTACGCCGGTCAGGACTCTGACGAACAACAGACGCAACGATGGCCCGTTGTTCGAGCTGTTCCGATCGAATTTTCCAATTTGTCTGGAACGAACGGAGGCGCCCCGGTTCCGATGGGCGTCCCAAACGAACGGCCACTTCTTCCGTGATTTAACTGGACCAAGTGAATTTCCGCATTACCGAGTGCCCGTTTGCGAGGGCACGTACTTGCGTGAAGTCGTTGTAACGCTAACGTAAATGCAATACGTGTTCCCACGGTGAAAATACATGCAGGATCCTCGCGTCGACGAGCGCCGAGGCGACATCGACTTAAACGAATTTCCCCGACAAACTCCGCCGCGTAGTCGTCATTTTCTCTTGAAACTCATTTCACACGGGCGCGAGTGCTCACACGCGGACCGGAGAAATAGAAGAGAGGAAGGCTGACACGGAAAAAGAGGGAATACACTGTTGAGCGCGGACTCGGGGATTCCTACGTCTCCGGAGCGCACTCTAATCCGGTCATTGTCTTCGTCCAGTAACGATTGGAAAATTGCTCCGATGACTCGCGGAACGCGATAACGACCGACGTTCCCGAGCACGTAAGATTTACGAGATCGTCGGTAAATATTCGCGAACGACCGCGGATAACGTGCGGCTGAAGGAGCAATTACTGTCGCGCTAATTACAGCGCGAACGTCGGGAGATCGAACAGCGTTCGACGCGAAAGTACGAATGGGGCAGAGAAACGACGTCGCCGCGGAGTTGGCCGACGCATATCCGGCTCGCTGCAGGAAGTACTCGAGCCGACGGTGTCGAGGGACGGAACAGCGAGCGTCGTGAACCGCGAGGAGCGTCCGCTAAGCGTCGAACGACCGACAACCGATTTGTTCAACGCGAGGATTACGGTCCGTCGCTCGAGCTTCGTTTCGAAATGAATGCCGATCGTTGAATCCCGATCAGACAGACGCGTGTGCGTTCGGTTCACGGTCCAACGAGTAATTCTTGTCTGCGGCGCCGGTCGTTTATCCTCGCGCGAACGAAGACCGGGAGCTTTAGGGAGTTAAAGGTCGAGGGTCTCGTCGAGCTGCGAAACCAGCCGCGCGCTTCCTCCTTCTTCCCAGGTGTATCGGATTTAACGGTTTAAAAGGCAATTTATTTCGCGCACGATTTTCCCCGTCAGTTTGACACAACGAGAGATTAAACGAGCCGCATGCGTGCGCGCGCGGCCGCGCGATTCCCATCGAAGCGTTAAAGTGTATTTTATACCGAGCGAGGAGCGCAACCCGAGACCCGTCCGCGTTAGGTCGTTTCCTTCTCGAATACGCTAAACGGTGAATACGAAAAACCAATAAATTATTTCCACCCTATTAACGTGACCGTCGATACTACCCAGGCTACGCGGTAATGGATCGCGGGGAATTTTTCTTTTTCGGGGGAAAGTATCCATAACTCCTCGGGCTGCACGTCATAATTCTTAATTCCGAAGGTGCTTGAAACTCGCCGCGGCGACCCCGATAAAAGCCTTTTAAACGGAACGTCGATACATTTCCTATCCTGCTAAGCGAACAGGAATTAATTACGAATATAGCGGCAGGAAATGAATAGCCTATGCCAACGTTTCCCTCGTTTGCCGTGCGTTCGTCTTCGATAGGAACCTTGTAATCTTCCGATTCCTTTTTGCCTGTTTACCTATCGATCGTTTCTCTCCTTGAGTCCCTTTAGCAGCAGAGGTACGAATATTGTAACTGTAATACTTACCGAAGAATATATTACTACTTATTTATTTCCACCTCATTGCTACGAATATTACTATGCAGAAGACCTTTAAGCGAGCAGATAATTATAAGAATATATCGATTAACCCTGTGCGGTCCGAAGTGCTTTTGTTCTCTCACTTTGAGGTTCACGTCGACGTTGGTTCATTCAATCGCGGCTTAATATGACGAAAGCTTAATTAATGCGAAGAATTTATTTATTCGAGAATATTCGGGAGTCATTGGAATGTTACCTTTAAATGGTACAATCGTGATACCACGAAGAAATATAGAAAAAATTGTTAAAACAGGTAGAGGTTGTAATAAAATGGAATATCGAGTCTGACTCGACATAGGACTGCAAAGGATTACGGTTGTACAATTCTATTGTACAATTAATTCGTTTAATAATTCGTTGGAACAGCATTATCCCTTTCAGTAATATCACTTCTACCGTTAAAAAGTCGAGCGACTCCCAACCCCGTCGTGATTTACCGTTCCGCGCGTTCCGCGGTGCACCGAAACGCGGGCGAAAAAGTTCTGAACGCGCTGTCAATGTGTTGCAGTACCGATGGAGACGATACAGGGAGTGGCGGGGCAGAGGGCAACTTTGCCCTGTAATATACAACCCCGCGAGCCGAACGACGCCGTCTCTATGGTGCTCTGGTTTAAAGAGGACAGCGGCGAACCACTCTACAGGTAAGCCATCATAGTTATTTACGAGAGATAGAGAGGGCGGACGAGAGAGACCTTTTAAATCTACGCAGCAGCCATTTCCCCGATACACAGAAGAGCCCTGTCGACGCTGTTTGCACGTGTCCCCGTGCCGCTGCCGCAAAAACCGGCGGCCGTTACCGCGTTGTCAGGAGCGAAAGACATTTTCATGAATCCGCGGTTCGTTTTCGTTCGCCGCGCGAAATCGAATCGGTACTCGGAGCGGGAGGGCCTGGTATCTGTTCCGTCGACCGATCGAAACGACCGCCGCGTAAACGGGGACCAACCCGAGATTTCGTTGAGCCACGAATCGTCTGCGCGGTCCATTCTCCGGCGCAGAGTGTTCCGACGACGATCCTTTCTATCCTCGTAAATATCGCGTTTATGGTGGATCGCGTAAAACCAGGATCAGCAGCGATTCCGCAGTACCGTCTTTCCGCTCGTCTCCGTATTCGCTCGCGCTGCGAATCATTTTCCTTCCTGTCGCCTCGTTCCGCTCGTGTTACATTCTTCGGAGCCCTCTCGCGGCGGCGATGGGCGTTCCGCAGACACTCCCCGGATCAGGATTAATTCCCGAAGATCGACGGAATTCTCGTTCCGCGCTGGAAACGAGGCGGATCGGAGGGAACGCCGATGAACCTCGGCCGGCTGCGACGGAATCACGGCTGCAAGCTGGGACTTTCCGGCTGGGCATTACGGCAGCTCGTAAAAAAATCTTATTCTGCCGAAAGAAAAATGCATAAAAGAGGCGCGAACTCGGTTTTATTCGTCTCGCGAGCCATGGAACAGTTCCGTTCGTGCTTCGCGCGGCACTCGTACGGGCGATAAAAACTTTGGGAATGTCTCTCTCCGAAGGCGCCAATGATATTCGAGCCGCCGACGCCGGCGATGGCTGAGAGTAGCAGAATTCAATATTAATATTTAATCTCTGGCGACGGATGCCAACGGCTAAGGGCGCGGGGAGAATAAATTTCGCCGCGCGAGGCGGCTGGAGGAAATTCATGCGGATTTTTAGGCTCTCCCTAGACGTCGCGCGACGCGCTCTTTATACCGAGCGAACGTGCGAGGCGAGATCCTCGCGGGACACGGTTCGCCGTTGTATCGGTCACCGATGACCGGTGCTTCCGAGTCCATTGAGAGCGAGTACGATCGACGGAATAATTCGATGGAAACGGTTCACTCGTTACCGAGCCGTTGCAACGCGCTCTTATCAAAGGGTTTTGTCTTAAAAGTAAACGTGCTTTAACCGGGAACAGTAAGTTTCCTCGCGTTCTCGACAATTATCGATTGCGAAGTGAACTCGAGTAGAAAGACTCGATGAAATTCTAAACGTAACGGATTAATCGAGCGTTCCTATGAATTCTTCCGACTAACTTCGAGTGTTCTTGAAAAACCGGGAAGCGGCTGTCGACGGCACGTAGCACAACTCATTTTCGCGGCCGGATACGGCGGGTTACCTCAAGATGGCTGTCGATCAATCCTCCTTATTAGCCATGCATTGGTACAGCTGTGTATACGCGCATAAATGAAGTTACACAGGATGCGCGGTTACGATCCGGATAACAAATAGCTCCGCCCGGCACGACGCACGCTCGCGTCACGCTCGTCCTGTAATTAATGTGCTTCCCCGGCGTAAAGTAAATGAACGTCGCTTATGAAATGCAAATTCCTCGGAGGGACTTAATTAGTGGCCGTTCGATTGCGAAGCTGCTGGGATCGCGAGTTGCAACATCGCTTCCCGCTCCTTCGAAGTTCCAGTTGAATCGTTCGGACGTCCAGACACGGGAAACGGAAATCCCCGGGGAGCGGAAACCGCGAAATTCCAGCACGAAGCGCATTTTCATATCTCGGTCGGGAGTCAAGTAATAACGGACACAGGCGTGCGATAGTTTTCGCGAGAATTTCGTAAGATTTTTACGGCCGGCGGAACAGCGGGAGACCAAGAAACGAATAGAGAGAGAGAGAGAGAGAGAGACCAAAGAGAGAGAGATAGAGGTAGTAGCGAGTTATTCCGGACAGCAGCAGGGGCGTTAACCACCCTTTCTACAGAACGGACAACACCGCGCTTATTAAACGCGTGCCAGGATTAAAAAGAAACTGCTTGCGCATTCAGGAATGTAATAGTCCTGCTTCCTAAGCACGGGCCGTTCCTACGGCGCGAAATATACTGCGACAATCTTGCGAAGAGTTAATTGCTCGGCAGCTTTACCAAGCGGAAGGGAGGAAAATCTTGCGGCCAAAGAAGTTTGTCACGCCGCGAGCAGGTGCGGAGGGTTTACTGCGTCGTTACGAGATCTTCGAATACAAGGGGATGATCGTCGCGAGGTCGAACCATCGAAGATGGCCGGTGTTCGAGTTCCGGCGACGGACAGCGAATGACGAATGGACACGGGTCACGGTCTCCGAAACGGGAGTCCTCAAG